GTGGCAGTGAATATGAGCAGCATCCTCACTCTCCTGTGTGGCAGTGAATATGAGCAGCATCCTCACTCACAGGACTCGTCCATGAAGATGTTAATGATACAACACTAAGACATACAGGCATCCGCCACAACACGTCGTGGTCGTGTGTGGTGCCAGTGCCATATTACGCCTGCCTGGGGGGGAGGGGGGGAGGAGGAGGAGGGGGGAGGGGGGAGGGGGGGGAGTGGAGGGGGGGGGGTTCCCACACTGGCGCCATGTGAGAGGCACTTGGTAACATATACCTTGTTACCAGCACCAACCTAGACAGTTACACTCATCAATAGATCCCGGTGGTGACTGTGATAGTTTGCCTCTCACCACCCCTCCCACACCCCACCCCTCGTCTCACTTGCCCTCTCTTCACCCCATCTTCACCTCCCCATCACCCTTATCTCCCTAGCTCCCCCCTTTCCTCGAACAGATAGACATTTCCATTTATGAAGTAAATTATGAAAATGCGCGGGTAAACGGCGGGAATGAGTTATTATCCGATTTCGTGAAAATCGCTCGGGGGAAGGGGGGGGGGAGAGAAGGAGGGGGGTAGGGGGTGGGGGTGATTTGGGTTACAAGCTATATTTCTTAAAGCATAACTTAGCTATACCCGTGACCAGCCCATGTCCGTCCCATACCCCAGACCATTCCTGCTGCAAGTTTGGGTGGGGTTAGCCCCAAGTGTTTGGCCTCCAACTTTGTACAGACAAACACTCTTAGATTTATTTTAGATTCATTTTTAATTTAATTTTCTAGTTATTTGTAGTACTATATTTCATTGCCTTTATCTTTTATCTATAAAATAGAATGTCTATCCAAGATTGGTGACCAGACACACAGGGCATGAATCAATAAACTTTGTAGGGTGACATGTGGGTGGTAGAGGACAGTCATAGGCCATTCAGAGTTAGCCCCTCCTGCCTCCCTATAAGCGGGGTCGGCTTTCATGGCAACCCCCCATGGATTCTGTGATGAAATAGTGGCTGCTGAGACCATAGATTTTCATTATCTGTTTATATAGGCAAAGTGTATATGTTCTCATGCACTTTGCATTCATTTGCATGCTGGGCCTCTCAACACAAAGGGTAGAACCTTATAAGGTCAACCTCAGCACTGCCTGGTACCTTACTTTGTGTCTACTTTGTGTCTACTTTGTGTCTACCTTGTATCTATCTTGTATCTACCTAGTGTCTACCTTGTATCTACCTGATGTCTACCATGTGTTGGTTCTGATGCCAATGTCCCGCAGGTATGTTGATCGTCGTATCTGGTTGGTCGTCTGGTCAACTTGACTGTTGGATGCGGCTGCCTGACGTATGATTCACAGTTTAATTGATCAAGAATCATTTGGAGGTGTTTATCCAGTTTTCTCTTGAACACCGTGAGAGGTCGGCCAGTTATAACCCTTATGTGTAGTAAGTGTTGAAAAGCCTTGGACCCTTGATGTTGATAGAGTTCTCTTTCTCTAGAACTCAATGGGGCTATTTTACACATCCTGCCATGCCTGCTGGTTTCATGTGATATGTTCATGTGCAGATTTGAAACCAGTCCCTCTAATATTTTCCATTTTTAAATTATTATGTCTCTCTCGCCTGCGCTTTAGACTCTAAAATATTTAGACTAAATCTTATCCTATTATACCTATAATAGGTTAAGTAATAATTGTAATTACGAAGCAATAAGATGCTTATCTTAACATACTAAGAAGTTTAGGTAAGGTAGGTGTTTTCTATGAAGCTTTTCAAGGTAAACTAAACTAGTCATAATAAATTAGTATGTCACATATGCACGTATTCAATAAATCAATATTGACTATACGAAAGTGCGAGAACGGGTTGAATAATTTAGATGTTTAATAGAGTGGTTTCTATCAGTAAAGGATCTGTGTATGCTCTGTAGTTCAGCAGTTTATACGGCTTTGAGTGGGGCTGTTACTCTGCAACAGTATTGCACCCTAGAGAAGGCTAGTGTCTTGAAGAGTATCATCACTGGTATAGCATCTCTTCTCTGAAAGGTTCTTGTTATCCAACCTGTAATTTTATTTTTTGCATTCGTGACAGATACTTTATTGTGTTCTTTAAAAGTAAGGCGTTTTCATTGCCCTTTCGTTGTATAGTGTAATTTGACTGCGGTTTACATATGGTTTCCCTTTTCATATTATCGTTTTTTACCATAGTACAGGAGACATGCCCTATATGTTCATTATCTTAGTAGAACTCATCTTCACTAAGATATTATCTGTGGTCAATTGAAAGATCCGATTAACATTAGATTGGAAGTTTACCGAGTACTCTATATTGTCTATTCGCATGATTATAGTAGTGTCATCTGCAAATGATGATACAGTACTGTATTTTGTATCCTTGTCTATGTCCGATTTGTGGATGAGGAAAAGTAACTGAGCAAGCACAGTACCGAAGCTCCGGTAACTAAGGGAGCAGGTTGTGGAAGCAAACATCATTTATAGTTA